GACTTTGCACATCATGGCGTTCTTGTCCTTCGGCACCACGGCCTTCCCACAGAGGGACACGCAGATCGGCTGCCTCTGCTTGGAGCCCACAATGAAGCATTTCGGGTGATCATCCAAAAAGTTGGATTATCTTTAGAAGTGGTTGACTTTCCAGGTTGCCCTGTCTTCCCTGGGCACCACAGTGGTGTGTCATGGATTTCCACGTAGGATTTAAAAACGATGTCATGCCTACGAAGGCACCTGGGGAGCGGCCCTTTTGTTTTTTCTGCACATGGAAAGATAGATAGGAACTCTCTGTCGTTCGTTTACCTAACACAGCTTTTGGATTCTTCAGAGTAGCAGTTACGTCTCACGCAGTCTCTTTAGCAGCTAACTGTCCTCCTTCCTTCACTTGTTTCCTGGATCTGCTTGTCTGTCCACCTACCTGACTCCCTGTCCATCTGTTGTCCACCCATTCATCCTTCAGTCCTCCATCCATCTGTTCGTCCATCCAGGTGGCTTGGTGGAGTGTGGTGGTTATGCTGCCCACGCCTGAGGCCACCCGTGCCCTGCCCACTCTCCTCACCCTGATTGCCCTGGCCCCAGAATGTTGTACGTGTTTCTGCTCTGGTTACCGGGCAGCGCTGCCGCCCTCAGGGACTTCCGCCTGGGCTATTTATCTTAGGAAAGAGAAGCCACTGCTAACCAACGGCTTAGAGTGCTCTCTCCTTTCCATCACAGAAGTAACGGTTCACTGTGGACATCCGTTCCTTTTTGATGTGAACCCTGAAGTGGGACATGAACAGGAGTGGCCCTTGCTGTGTCGCAGCGTATCTGGGGTTCCGTGTGTGTGCACGTGGACACAGAGACATGGGAGCGGGGGCAGTTCTGGAGCAAATGGAGCTGTTGGTAAAGGTGGAATTATTTTACAAATTGCCTTTCACTTGGTAACATAGCCGGCCAGCATTTTCAGAGGGATTATTGATATCAGTCCCTTGAAGTCTTTCTATGCTCTAAGGAGGCACGTGAGCTTATTTTGAATTAACTGTCTGATTTTACGTCCCATGACTTCACCTTCCACGGGGTCCCCCTGGACCTGCCGATCTGCCTGTGTGCTGTTGCCTCCGCCTGCACCACTCTGAGGGCTCTTGGCGGCCAGGGCCCCCACCTTTCTCAGCATGGCACCGCCCCCGGAGGTGGCATGGGTAACGTGGGGTGGCTCCAGACGGTCTTACACGTGCGGGTACCCATGTTAGTTTACAATTAAATGATGAAATTAAGCGAGAAACAGAATCTAGTCAGATTTCTATTTGCTGACACACGTTGGCTCCAATTCCATTATTTTTGATAATGTGTTGTCATAAATGTCACCCAGAGAGTCCCAGCAGAAGCCTGTCTCTGTCCTGGCTCCCAGGGCCTAGTTAATCCTGTGGGACTGGCAGGAGGTTGAGGTGATGTGCGTGCCCACCCCGTGGTGGTGCATGCGCCCGCCCCCAGCACTGCCCCCCATGTGGCTGCAGTGCTGGGTGAGCTGCACAGCACCTGCCCCTGTCACAGCGGCTGGCCGCCGGCAGGCCGGG